GCAACCTGAAATCAAATCAGAGCTGCGAATTCCCAAAATTCCAGAGGGAACAGAAATCTCGCTCTGGTGCCTTCCATGAGCAGGGAAAAAGGAGCGTTTGGGAAGAGTCAGGCTCGTCCCTTTTCTGCAATTTTCTGCCGTGAATTCTGCTGCTTCCCAAAGGGTTTCCTGCTGCCCTGGCAGTGCTGGGAATCCTGGAGAGCAAAGCCACACTCCAGGGCCCTTTGGGATCAGCTCATCCCCTGGAGTTTGCTGGACCATAAAATAAAATTGTGGCGGTCACCAACAACCATGAATTGGAAAACTCGAGGAATTTTCTTGGGAATTTCCAGTCCTGTCATTGATCCCGTGCCTACAAAGGCAGGCACGGATGGGACTTTGGATTTCAAAGCCTGGAAAAGTCAAATGGAATTGCTGGGCACCACTGGCCCTGCAGGAGAGCGAACCCTCCGTGAAAAACCCTCCTGGAGCCACATTTTGGGATGGGGAGGAACCTGAAGCAGGGGGGATAAATCCTAACTACAATTCCCAAAATTCCAGATGGAAAAAAAAAATCCTCCTCTGGTGCCTCCCACGAGCAGGAAAAAAAAAAAGGGAGGAAATTAAGAATTTAGAAAGATTCCTGAAAAACACCTTTTGGCAAGGAGAGAAAAGCCAGAAAATATTTTCCCGCGTTCACTCAGAGGACAAAGAAAATCCAACTCACCGGGTGTGGAGAAGTGGAGACGAGGAGCAGATGTGGATGGCTCTGCAGAATTCCAAGAGCTCTTTTATACTTTTCCCGACCCCCCAGTGGGACGGGAGTCGAGCTTTGTGCAAGAGCTTCCCACGCGTTACCAAACCGTGTTTTGCTGGCTGGATTATTTCATTAATTGTCCTAATTGTTCTCCTAAGTGACGTGATAAATTCATTAATAATCCCAAGTCACGTTCCAAGCACTGCACCCCTTGGCTCCGAGCCCGTTTTTTTCTCCACATTCCGACCCCCACGGAGTCACCTCGGAGCTCGTGTTGTCCCTGAGCCTCGCTGGAATTGAAGCTGGAGTGGGTTTGGGTCCACTTGAGGGGATTTATTGATTAATAAATAGGTCCCGTGCACAATATTTCACTTTCCACACCAAAAATCCGGATTTTTTTGGGGGGAGCTGATGGAGATGCTCCCTCTTCCCAGAGCTGCCAGAACGGGAGAACCAGCGGCAAGAACTCGGGATTTTTTTTTTTTTTTTCATGTAAATCGATATTTCCCAACCCAAGTGGAGGAACCCAGAAAGTTTCACGTTAATTGAGGAGTCAAGGAGGAATTGCTGACTGGCAGAGCTGTCAAACCCAGGGATGTCACCGGGGCCTGACGGGGCTTGTTCGGGTTCTGTCGCAAGATCTTTAACCCCGATATCGGCTCCTCGTGTTCTGTTTTCCTGTCGGGTCTGGAAACACCAGAAATGTGGGGGTAGGAGTTATATAATCACCGGTAAGAAATTTTTGTCGTGATAGAAATGTGAAAAAAGGGGATGGTCACGGGATTTCAGGGTTGTTGAGGTTGGGAAAGAGCTCCAAGGTGGTGGAGTCCAACCTGGGACCGATCCCCACCTGGTCACCCAGACCAATGTCCAGGTGTTCCTTGGACACCTCCAGGGAGCCTTTTCCAAGAAAAACAGGGTGAAATTCCAGCTCCAAACTGGAGTCACTTGTCTCCCACAGCTCTGACTGAGAACCAAATCTTGAATCTCAAATCTCAAATCTTGAATCTCAAATCTCGAATCTTGAATCTCAAATCTCGAATCTTGAATCTTGAATCTCAAATCTTGAATCTTGAATCTCAAATCTCAAATCTCAAATCTCAAATCTCAAATCTCAAATCTCAAATCTTGAATCTCAAATCTCGAATCCTGAATCTCGAATCTCAAATCTCAAATCTTGAATCTCAAATCTCGAATCTTGAATCTCAAATCTCAAATCTCGAATCTTGAATCTCAAATCTCAAATCCCAAATCTCAAATCTCCAATCTCCAGTCTCCAATCTCCAGTCTCCAATCTCCAATCTCCAATCTCATATCTCAAATCTCAAATCTCGAATCTCCCATCTCGAATCTCCAATCTCGAATCTCTGATCTCAAATCCCAAATCTCGAATCTCTGATCTCCAATCTCCAATCTCCAATCTCCAATCCTGATTCTTTAATCTCAAGTCTCAAACCTCGAATCTCAAATCTCGAATTTTGAATCCCAAATCTCAAACCTTGGATTTCAAATCTCGAATCTCAAATCTCGAATTTTGAATCCCAAATCTCAAACCTCGGATTTCAAATCTCGAATCTCTTCATTTGACCTTGGTTTAGAACCAAAACCCTCCCAGTCTGGGGTTTGATGACACCAATGTTTGTGTGACATCTTTGCCTGTGACAATCCCCCCTAAAATATCCATCACATCTAAAACTCTCCTGATGTTTCTGGAGATTGATAAAGGGAATTTTTCTTGGTGATCTCTCCTCTTATTCATGCATTTCTGCCTTTCACCAAATGAGGTTTAAACCCGGGAATTCTGCTGAAAAAAATAATCCTGGCCAGTCTTTAGATGCTTTTATTTTGTTTCAGATGGAATCAGCTTCATGCACTCAAAAATATTTAATTTTTTTCCTCCAGTGATGCCTCCTGAACATGTCAGGAATATTGCAGCTGTCCCAAGAGGGGACAAAAGGAGAATTAGGATAATTAAGGTGACAAAAGGGGAATTAGGATAATTAGAGTGACCAAAGGAGAATTACAATAATTAAATGCTCTCACACAGGGCTTCGTTGGATGACAATGAGCATCCAAGGAATTAATTTAAGTCCTTTTTAACCCGTTCCTTAGGTTAAACAGGGATAAAAGATGACCCTTCCCATCCGAGGATTTATAAAGACAAAAATCTGTGTTTTTTTTCCCAATTCTGGATTTCCAGGGAATCTTCTGCACGACAGAAAATATTTCCCCAGACGAAGCCAAACCAATTTTTGCACTTGCTGAGGGAATTCCCGATCCTTCACAATTCCCAAGTCAAACCAGGTCAGGAAATGGCAGCACTCACAAAATCATCAAAAAAATAATTAAAGATTAAAGGGAGACAGAGGGTGTGTGCATGTATCGGCTGATGAGGAGTTGATTTACTAATCATTAGCACTTATCAAAGCAATTATTACAATTAGAAGGCGCTTATACAGCAGAAAAGTGTCTCTGGGGATGTCCCAAAGTTGTGTTGCGTGTCCTGGGTGCCATCAGGGAGGGTATAAAAACCGGGATTTTCCTGCAGCTTTTCCAGCACCTTCTCCTCAGTCCGGTATTCCCTGCGAGCCCGGTGAGTTCTCTGCCTCTAATTCCATTTTTATTAACTGGGATGCTGCTGTCGGTGCTGAACTGGGGAATAATTCCATGTCCGAGCTCTGAAATGATCAGGAACAGGGACCTGGGGTTCTTTTCCAAGCCCAAATTATTCCATTTTATCAATTCTGTCCCTTGGGCAGGGAAGTTCATTGTGGCTGGGGATGGTTTTGGGAGATTTAGATCTCACAATATGAAGTTGTGCTGTTCCAAACCACAAAGAGAGAGCGTCAATTAAACCCTGATTGTTTGATGGGGAGGTTACAAATTAACTACCCCGAGCTTGGCTTTTATTCAGGATGGAGGGAAATGAGCGATCTCGTATTTAGAGAGCAATAATTCCTTCAACCAGGAAATTCCAGATTTTACCACACAGGTGATGGTGTAAAGGCCTGGATCTCCCTGAATATTTTCATTTCACTCCTTTGCTGCAGTTCCCTTTCTAGCACAGAAGATGTTTTCTAAACTTTCCTTTCCCTCATTTTTCCTGCTCATGGAAGGCACCAGAGCGGGATTTCTCTTCCCTCTGGAATTTTGGGAATTTCAGCTCTGATTTGATTTCAGGTTGCCGTCCATCCCAAAAAAAAATGTCTTCCCCTTGAATATTTTCACTTTACTCCTTTGCTGTAGTTCCCTTTCTATCAGAGAAGATGTTTTCGGGAATCTTTCTAAACTTTTCTTTCCCCCAATTTTCCTGCTGATGGAAAGCACCAGAGCGGGATTTCTGTTCCCTCTGGAATTTTGGGAATTCGCAGCTCTGATTTGATTTCAGATCGCCGTTCCATCCCCCCCCAAAAAAATGTCTTCAGGAGCGATGCTGAGCAGCGGCTGCTCGTCCCCGTGCGAGGTGTCGTGTCCCCAGCCCTACGCGGACGCCTGGAGCCAGCCCTGTGTCACCTCGTGCGGGGACTCGCGGGCCGTGGTCTACCCTCCTCCCGTGGTCATCACCTTCCCGGGGCCCATCCTCAGCTCCTGCCCCCAGGAGAGCATCGTGGGCACCTCCTTCCCGTCGGGGGCCATGGGATCTTCGGGATCCGGGGGCGCCATCGGGGGGCCCTATGGAGGGGGCGGCAGCTCCACGGGGGGAATTGGGGGATCCTCCGGGGGCGGTTCCGTGGGGGGCTCCTATGGAGGAGGATCCA